GACTGGTTTGACCTCCTAGCAGTCCAGGGGACTCTCAAGAGTCTTCTCCAGCACCACAGTTCAAAGGCATAGTTATTTAGTACCTATTCTTCAATTAACATTAATTGTTAACTACTGCACTTCCATTGCTGTGATAATACAGGATTTCTTTAAATGTTTGCAAATGTTTCATGGGCAGGATGGGAAGAAGTTGTGCTGGTTTCAAAACTGGGGCTGTTCCTGCTTAATTGCATGGATAGTGTGTGTTACCATTACACAACAAATAAAAAAAAACCAGCACTCACCACTTACTATTTTACTAGGCTCTGCTAACAGTAATATCAACATTTACAGCTATGAGCAAAATGTACTAATACAGGCCATACAATCAGCAATCAAACCAGTGCATATTGGGTTTTTTTTTTCATTTTTTCTAAATGCACCTTGAAGCTCACATCATGCATAAGAGGCATGCACAAATGCATATATACCCATAGTTCAAAAGACCAACATAGAATTTTCTTATACCCACGCTTCTAGATACCCATCACACTGCACTAGTTGAAGAGTGAAACCTGGTCACTTGAACTAAATTGAATGGGGTAGTATGCAGGTTGCTTCAGGGGCAGGCAGTGAGATGTATAATCACTGGCTGCCGCAGCCATAGTCCAGTTGCAGGCCTCTCACATAGTTTCGTCCTCTCAGGGTTTCTCACTGACAGCAGGCTCTGGTCCAGAATAGCTCGTCAGTTTGCTCTGCTGCTTTTCCTGCTACCTAGCATTCTCTCCTCCCCATCCAGCTTTAATCAGAACATAGGGGATTCCTCATATTCCTCCTAAGTGGGAAGACAGAACCTTGAAGGAATAATACATTTTTGGTGGATTTGGGTTAGAAATAGTGCCTTATGCTCTTAAACCTTTTAAAAAAACTTCTCCATATAATAATCATAGCAATAATAATTTTTAAACAGAATCTCTGGGGATTTTGTCAATGAGACTGGTTTCACATATTGTTCTAAGTCATAATGTGGTTTGATTTTAACTTGATGTATTATGTGAACCCAGTCCACTGTGATTTGTAAATCATATCTTCTGGCTTAGCATGTTACATGAAATCAGTAAGTGATATCCTAACTATGGATTTTTTCACTGGTCCAGTAATAGGCAACTTGATGTCTTTGAAATATTTGAAATTAAATATTTCCACTATCCCAAAATAGTGGCCAGTTATCAGGAACTCTGAAAGCTAAACAAGTTGCCAGTTCCTGGAATAAATAATACAGTAGAGTCTCGTTTAACCGACCTTCGCTTATCCGACATTCCATCTTATCCGACACCCCTAAAAAAAAAAACACAACAACACTCATAAATCGGCGACGAGAAAAGTGTGCCGCTTGTTTGCGAGTATGAGTGTACTCTTTCTTGTTGCTCCTGACAGTGTGGCGCCCCAACACAAAAATCGATTGCAACAGGTGCAGCAGGCGCGCGCATCTAGCCTATGACTCATGTGTCGGTCATGTCTCACCATTCCTAATGGTCGCTCAGTGCAGTTTGTTATTGTATGTGGATTGGTTTACTGTGTGTTACTGTGCAGTGTTTACGTGCGTGTTAACGTAAGTAACGTAGTTGTGTTGTGAAGCAGTTTTTACTGAAATTTACACGAGTATGGCGACGAAAAGAAAGTTGTTGTGTCAGTGGAACAAAAACTTGAGGCAATCAAGAGACTGGACAAAGGGACGATGCAAAAGGTAGCTGACGACTATGGCATCGGACGGGTAACAGTAGGAGACTGGAAAAGGAAACAATTGGAGATAGAAAAATGGTGTTCCTCGAGAGTTACGGATGGTGCACTAAAAGAGAGAAAAACGATGAAAAAGTGTGACTATGAAAAAGCGAGGCTTTGTACGTTTGGTTTACACAGTTCAGAGACAAAGGTGTGCCTATTTCAGGGCCTATTTTACAGCAAAAGGCGTTGCATTTTCAAAATGAATTTAATGAAGGGGACCCAGAGTTTACAGCAAGCGTTGGTTGGCTCGACAGATGGAAGAAACATTATGGAATCCGTCAGTTAAGTGTTTGTGGTGAGAAACTGTCATCAAATTTTCAAGAAATGGAGGCATTCAAGAAAAAGTTTCAAGACTTTAT